GTGCTGTGTTCAATTCCCAGCACCCTCAGGTTGGCTCATGACTCTCTATAGTGGGATCTGATGCCCTCTTCTGGCATAAAGTCATACATGCAGACAGAGTACTCGTATACAATAAATGGACAAATAGATAAATCTTTAAAAGAAGATATAGATAAAGGACTGGGACTTGTTTCTACTGCATGTACTGGCTTTTTGGGACCCTAGTCTATTTGGATGCAAAGCTTCCTAGGCCTGGATGTAGGGGAGGGAGGGCCTTGGACTTCCCACAGGGCAGGGTTCCCTGCCCTCTCTTAAGTGGGGAGGGGGAAGGAGGAGGGTGAGTGGGGGAGCGGGAGGAGAGGAAGTATAAATTTTTGAATGGAAAAATAAATAAATAAATAGATAGGTAGATAGAAGATATAGACTGGCTAATTAGATTGAAAAACAACAATCAACTGTTTGCTCCTGTAAGAAACACCCCTCACCAGCAAAGACATGTACACGTGCTGAAAGAAATGAAAAACTATATATTAAGCAATTGTAGTCTGGAAGAAAGCAAAATTAATTGTGTTCCTATTTAATAGTGCAGACTTCAAGACAAAATTAGGAGAAACAAGATCACTTCACAGGGAATATAAATATATGTGCACCTAATGTTGATGTACCCAATTTTATAAAACAAAACAAAACAGGAATTACTGGACAGAAAGGGATGTGGAGGCTTCAGTATAATTACAGTGGGTTACTTCAATATCTTATTTTCACCAATAGTTTGGTGGCCCATAAATATCCCCCCCCCACACACAAATCACTGAAGGAACTTCAGAGATGAACTATCTGAAAAATCAATGGAGCCAACAGACTCTAAGCTTCATCTAACAACTGCAACATACACATTTTTGGATATTTTATAGAAATTTCCTCAAAAAACATATCTCTGAAATAGTTATTTTAGGACAGAAAACTAGTCTTAAGAAATTTAAAATGGCCGGGCGGTGGTGGCGCATGTCTTTAATCCCAGCACTCAGGAGGCAGAGGCAGGTGGATCTCTGTGAGTTCGAGGCCAGCCTGGTCTACAGAGCTAATTCCAGGACAGGCTCCAAAGCTACAGAGAAACCTTGTCTAGAAAAAACAAACAAACAAACAAACAAAAAACTAAATTTAAAACACTTGAAATAATTTTTGTCACCTTCTCAGATCATAAAGAAATAAAATTAAAAATCAACAGCAATATATACTACAGAAACCACAAAAACATGTAGACCACAACTGTCATTTTTGGACAGTGAGCAGGTCATTGAAGATATAAGGAGAAAAATTTAAAAGCTCCTAGAATCAAATTTAAAATGAAGACACAATCTACTATGTGGAATACAGCAAAGGCTGTTCTGAGAAACGTATAGCTATGAGAGTCTACTTTAAAAAGAAAAAACAGTTCTCAGCCTGATGATGCATCTCAAGGTCTTCAAAAAACAAGAACAAACCCAAAACCAGTAGAATAGACGGAGGAATACAGATCAGAGTTGAACTCAGTGCAATGGCGGCCAGAAGGACAATACAAAGACCCAGTCAGACAAGGAGATGGTTCTGTGAGTAGGTTAGCAAGACTGATAAACCCTTAGCCAGTCTAACCAAAAGAAAGAGAGAGGATATAAACGGTTAGAGAGGCAAAGCAAGATATTATAATATAATAGACAGAAATCCAAGAGAGTTAGCAGGAATTCTTCAATAAATTTAAAACAGAACTGCTATAGTGTGTACCTTCCAGGGCTTTGCAATTGACGTTACTGGGGTGACAGTGAATGACAGACACGGTCTTACAAGAAAACTGGGATGGGGAGGGCTGTGTGAGGCAAACCAGTAGCCTAGTAGCTTAGTAGCATGACCGGCTGGATGAATAGATTCGCTAGTCTCAGTAGGAGGTCTCTGCACGGCCATCTGGCCATCCCAGAGGAAGTGCATTCTGCCCACAAGATCAGCGTCCACACAGGGATGCTTGTCATTCCCCTGAGTCTGGCGTGGGGAGGGTCTGAGGTCTGAGGGTCCTCGACATGGCTGTGCTCATATCATGAATGTTCATTCATACAAGGGTACATTTGCTCCCCAAATCCAGCCATGCCTGGTGTATGACTGGAGGAATCAAAGCCATCATACAAGAGAGATGCCTGCGATGATGCCATGTTACTGAATCAGCCTGGGAGCCTAGCAGTGTCTGAATGCATAAAGAAAATGTGGTACATCAGAGTATTATCCGGACACACAGAAGAATGAAATGATGTTATTTGCAGGAAATGGATCAATAAAGACCATCGTATTAAACCTGGGTCAGGTGATTCCAGGTTCTTGGCCTCTTATCCAAGAATTGAACCTACTTGCAAAGGTGAGATGACTTTACTCAGAGCAAAGTCATGGTGTAGGTTATAGAAATAAACACTGTCAGGACTGACATGGGACAACATGAGAGCAAGGGTCCTGATTATTATTATTATTATGTTTATTTATTATGTACACAGTGTTCTGCCTGCATATATGCCTGTATGACAGAAGAGGGCACCAGATATGGTTATAGATAGTTGTGATCCACTATGTGGTTCCTGGAAATTAAACTCAGGTCCTCTGGAAAAGCCATCTCTCCAGCCCAAGGGTCCTGATTATTATTCTGAGCTTCCTTTTAAGGTTCTCAAGAGAAAGAGTTGGTTACTAAAGGGTTTTCCTTGGTGGTTACGCAATGATTTCTCCATTGGGCATGCATCTCACAATGCATCTGATGCACACCCCGGTTATGCATAAGCAGAAGATGGTAAAAAGTGGATCCTTTCTATAAAGTAACTAGAAGACAGTGTTTGCCTTACTATGCATGTACCCCAAACCAATTCAGGCCTGACTGGCCCTTCTATTTCCGTACCAGATACATTGGGAATACACTTGACTGAACTGCCCAAATTTGAAAACTTCGGAGCTGAGAGTATGTGTAGTCTAATGCAGGTGAAGGAGAGCATGGGGCTTCTGGAGCAGCTGGATGCACTGTTTGGAGAGGGGTGTGTGTGTACAGTTATATGCAGGTGAAGTAGTCAGTTATTAACTGTATTATTACAGGAGGGTGTGTGTGCATAACCACAAAGCAAATGGCGATCATAGGGCACTAAACTATTTCCTCTGCTTGCCTGCCTTAGTAGAGATTGTGTTTATGAGAAACATCAGAAAAAGCATTTGGTTTGAGTCCGGTGAGACAGCTTAGCAGAGAAAGATGCCCAATGACCTAAATTTGGTGCCAGAGATCCACAAAATAGGAGAGAACCAATTCCCACGGAATTTTCTCTGACTTCCATATGTGTGGTGTGGAACATGCAGGGTTTTTGTTTTTGTTTTTGAGATAGGATCTCTCTAAATGGATCTAGCTGGCCTTGAATTTACAGAGACCCACCTCTCTCTGCTTCCCAAGTGCAGGTATAAAGATGTAAGCCACCATGCCTGATTAGTGGTTCTTTTTATTATTATTATATCAATACATTCTTGAAGTTGTAAATACTTGCAAATGTGGACTCATTATTTTTAATTTGTATTTTAATTTTCTTTTTCTTTTTTTATTCCAACCCTTCCCCCCCAAAAAAGTTTTTTGAAGACAATCTTATACCACCCAAACTGGCCTCAAACTAGTCAAGGATATTCTTAAAGTCCCCACTCTTCCACCTCCCCACTGCTGGGATTACAGCATCCATCATGGGGAGAGTCTCTCTCTGTAACCTTGGCTATCCTGGAACTCCCCATGTAAACTAGTCTGGCTCTGAATTTACCAACTCGCCTCTGCCTCCCGAGTGCTGAGATTAAAGCAATTCACCAGAATGCCAGGCTCTCAAAGTGGACTTTCAAATAAACTTTTATCATAAAAAATGTAAAATGTAGATTTAAATTTAGAGATTTGTCTTCATGTATTTATCGTGTGGATGGTCTGGAAAAATCCAGCTGTAAGAACATCTTCTTCTGACCCAGCAGGATAAAATGCCTCTAGGAGACCTTTGCAGTCTGAGACATTCAGAAGGCCATCTGAGTGTCCCGTCTTCTGTCTCCCCTGGCAAGCAGGGTTCAGTCTCTGTCTCGCCTGTCCTGGGTCTGTTGAAAGGGAGCAGGAGACTGGCTTAAAGCTGAAAGTTCTCCGGTTATCTCTGCTTCTATAGATATAAAGGAGGTTCTTAGAATGGAGTCTGGATTGTGATTCTAAGAGTCTTTTTTTTTTTTTTTTTTTGAGCCAGGGTCTTACTATGTAGATGCTGCTGTCCAGGAACTCCTATGTAGACCAGGTTGGCCTCCAACTCACAGAGATTGTCATGTCTCTCCCTCCTGAGTGCTGGGATTAAAGGTGTGTGCCAGCACGCCTGCTAACTAAATGTCTTTTAAGAGTCTGGAAACTATCAGTTACTTCGTATTTCATTTGTGGTAATTTTCATGACTGTTGTTGCGCAGAGAGTGGTCTTGGTGGGTCTTCACCTCTTTAGCCACATCAAAAGCACTTAGGAGGTTCCAAGGGTATCAAAGTACGGGAAGTGGTGGTATCTTCCTGCTATCCCAGCTCTGGGGAGGTGGAGGTGGGAAAATCGGAAGTTTAAGGCCATCCTTGGAGAGTTCTGTTTAGCCTAAGTTAATTGAAACCCTGTCTCAAAACACCAACCAACAGAAAACATTCATTAAAATGCTTAAAACATAGCAAATTTTATTCTTAAAACTGTCTAGCTTTAAAATTCCAAGGCTATGCTGGGCATTGTGGTGCAAGCATTTCCTCCCAGCGCTCCAAGACAGAGGCAGTCATATCTCTGTGAGTTCAAGTTCAGCCTGGTCTACATAGTGAGTTCCAGGCTACTCAGGTGCTATATAGTGAGACTTTCAATAAGCAAAACAAAACCCCAAGAATGCCTATCTCCACATTATAGTAAACGTGTGTTACTATTTAATCTTCATGGTGATATGAGAAGAGATATTTACCAGAAATGCCTGTGTTCTTGCCTTCCCTGCCCCGAAGCAGCATCTCCTTCTCATCCGGGCTATTGAAAGAAGAGAAGATGACAATGTTCTCTCCTGAGTTCAAATTCGAGGCTTCCAAAGTCACCAGAAATTCCTTGGACAACTGTTTTCTGTTTGAGAGCAGTTGGAGAAAAGCAGTTTTGGAAACACAGAAGATGAGGAAGGGTAAGTTTATTTTGTTTGTCATCTCTTGGAGAAGCAGAAGGGACGCCTGGAATTTACATATATTCCCCCCAATTAGGCAGTCAAGAGACATTATGCAACTCCTATGACATTTATATTGGGCTAGTATGTTAAGTTTATGGAAAGGGGAAATAGAAGCGAGTTAAGATTAATATTCTGTGAGTGATGCAAACACAGTTTACTTATCTACTTATGTTTTAAAATTATTTTATTATTACTTATATTTTTAGATTGTTTTGCGACAGGCTCACTATGTTGTCCTGGCTGGCCTGGAAGTTGCCATGCAGCCCAGGTTCACCTTGAATCTTTGAAATCCTCTTTTTTCTGCTGGTGCTATAAGCATGCACTACAATGTTCAGCTATAAATTTTTAAAAAATTACCTTTTTCCCTCCTATTTTTCTTTCTAACAGGGTTTTACATACCTCAGGATAATCTTGAACTTGTAGTCTAGGTTGGCCTTTTAATTCCTCATCTTGCTGCCTCCACCTCCCAAGTGCTAGGATTGCAGGCTTGTGCCACTGTGACCTGTAAGCTTTTAACCTCTCAGTCTGTCTTTTCTATTTAATGCCTTTGTTCTTATTTGTTTTTAAGAGGTGTTTATTATTTTTGTTTTATGTATATGAGTATTTGCCTGCACGTATGTGTGGGTACCAGGTACGATCTGGTACCCATGGAGACCAGATACAGATGGAACTGCAGTACTAGTCTTACCCTGGGGATGAGGAAAGGATTCTGCCAGTAATTCTTGCCTTGGAGCAGGCAAGTTTAGGTCCCCAGAACACATGAGCAAGGCGGTCGTCTTGGCAGCCCTCCTGTAATCCAGCAGGCCAGCAGAAGAGGGGGTAATTACCAAGCTGGCCGGCGATCCAGCCTAACTCCACAGCTCTGCGTTCTGGGTTCTGCCTTAATATATGAGGTGAAAAGGATTGATGAAGGTATCTAAGCAAATCTTGGGCCTCCGCACAGGCAAACACCTCCACATTCCCACTCACATGAGAAAAAAAAAAGTGAAAGAAAACCTGAAGTCAAGTATGGTGGAACGCACTTCTTGTGATTCCAGGTCTTGGGAGGCAGGAAAATTGTTGCAAGTTCAAAATCAGCTTGAGCTACCTTGTCTAAGAGAGACCTTGTCTCCATTAGAACCCCAACCAACCAACCAACCAACCAACCAACCAATCAAACCCAAAACCCAAACAAAAAGACTTGGAAAAATGTGAAGCCAATGAAAGCAGTCGAAACTTCATGTTGGCTTTTACAGATTTGGTATGAGTTTTGTGGAGAAAAATTCAAATCACTGCCAAGGGAAGGGTTTCAGATCACGTAATTTCTACTTTGTGGTTATTTACACAAACACGGGACAGATTCGGTAGCAGACAATGCAGAGGTCTTGAAGGTGATGCTTGTCTAAACGTGGTGCTAATATTTTGTGAACTCTAATAAAGAGAACAGCTGAAGACTGGCAAAGCTGCTCCTGCTCATACTTCGGTTCTTGGGGGAAGGGCCGCTGGGATTCTAGGGATGGGACCTAGAGCCTCTCACACTTAGTGAGCCCTGCACTGGGCTGCTTCCCAATCCATCCCTGGCTTTTATTTTCAGACCCAGTGTCCCTAAATTGCCCAGGCTGGCCTTGAACTCAGACCTTCCAGCCTTAGCTTCCCAAAAACTGGATTTGCAGGCGTGAGTCTTGTTCCCATTCTTCCCCACCCTCCAAATCTACTCCTCCCTGTGGTGGATCTGGCAGCATTTGAAAGTCATTCTCATGGGAGGGACAGACGACAGCAGCACCATGTTCTTACCTCTGTGGCTGATTTGCTTTGCCACACTGTGTGTTTTACTATGTGATAGAAGAAGTATGCATTTAACCGAGATGATTATGATTTTTTTATTACTACACACTATAGCATTTGGTCTAGAAGAGCCTAAAGAATGTCTCAAAATGCCATATTTACCAGAACTGCCAAGCTGCCCAAAGAGCTTAAGTTCAACTCCGCTAGAGATCCATAAGCACTTGCTACATGCTGAGACTGAGATCCCTCCCATCAGGTAGGTGGCCTGCTTTGTTGACTGCTTATGTCTAAGAAACGATGCTGAGGTAACGGCTTTTTGGGCTAATGAATCTGTTCTTGCTTTCTGAATTATTTTCATAAAGGAATGAATTTTTATTTGTATGTTTTTGCATCTAAGTTAGCCGTTTCATTCAAGTTGACAAACAGGTATGTTTCTCTCTTTTCAAGTGGCATTGCCAGAAAGGTTTGAAGGACCTGGTTTTAAGAATATCAATTGTCTGAGACTAGTTCAAATGCAGAAGAACACAGGAATGATTCTCTATAAGAACTGTAACTCTGCAGTGTAACTGGAGATGGCTTGTTCATGTCCCAGCCACCCAGAGCCAAATAATCACTCCGAAACTGTACTAATTACAACACTGCTTGGCCTGTTAGCTCAGGCTTCTTAATAAGTAACTCTTACGTCTTAAATTGTCCAATTTCTATTAATCTATGTTTTGCCACGAGACTGAATCCTACCGGTAAGGTTCCTGTGTGTTTTTCTGCCTTACTAACTGACTGTTGAACGTTTATGTCCTAGTTGGCTTCTCTGCTGGTGGGAGAAACATGAGCAAAAGCAGCTTGGGGTGTGGGCAGGGGAAGAGTTTATTTCATTTCACATTTCCAGGCCATGGGCCATCCTTGTGGGAGATCAGGGCAGGAACTCAAGGCAGGGACTTGAAGTTCCAATAGAGGAACGCTGTGTCCTGGCTAGCTCTCTGACTCACATTCAGCTACTTTTCTTTATAAAAATTATCATTTTATTTTATGTGTCTGGGTGCTTTTTCTGCATGTATATCTGTGTACCGTATGAATATCTGGTGTCCTCAGAGGCCAGAAGAAGAAACTGTATCCCCTAGAAATGGAGTTACAGATGGTTTTGAGCCAAGTACTTTTCTTATACAGTCCAGGGTCACCTGTCTAGTGTTGGTACCACCTACAGTGGGCTATATCAATTAACAACTAATTGATAGACATGTCTGCAGACTACCCTGTTAAGGAACTCCTTCAGTTAGGGTTGATGAGAACCAAAATTAGTCACCACTTGTTCATTTGGCCATTTTATAGAAAAGAAACATTACCTGAGTTATAACTTTTTTAAAGGAGGTGTATTAATACACACACACACGTAAAATTTTGTTTGACTTTTGTGCTAGAACCACCATGCCTGGCACACTTACATTTTTGTATGATCTTTGTGCTACAAAAGGTTTAAAATCAGTCGTCCAAGGACAGCACACAAGACTGCGGTTTCAGATTTATTCTTTCAGTTGTCTTGGAGATGGGGTCTCACTTTGTAGCCCCAACTGTCCTGGAACTCACTCTGTAGACCACGCTGGCCTTGAACTCACAGAGATCCACCTGCCTTTACCTTCCAAATTCTGGGATTAAAGGCATGTGGCACCATGCCTGGCACTGTTTGTCTTTGGGCTGCTGGAGATTAAGACCAGGGCTCTGTGAATACTAGGCTAGCAATCTACCACTGAGCTCTATTCCCAGCCTTAGGTTTGTTACTTTGTTGGAGACAGGGTCTCCTGTAGCCCAGGCTGGCCTCTCATTCACAGTGTAGCAGAGCGTTCTGTAAACTTCGGACATCCTGCCAAGTTTTGGAACCACAGACATGTGGATCATGCCTAATTTTATTTCTTTTAAAATGGTTTTATCTTGTGTGTGTGTGTGTGTGTGTGTGTGTGTGTGTGCATGCTTTCTCTTCATGTATGTGTATTACCACATGTATGACTGATGCCTGAAGAATCCAGGAGATGGAGTCAGACTCCCTGGAATTGGAGTTACAGACAGCTGTGAGCTGCCACGTGGGTGCTGGGAACCAAATCCAGGCCCTCTTGCAAGAACAGCGAGCGCTCTAAATGGCTGAGCTACCTCTCCAGCTCTCAGTTTTATTTCTTGAGTTTACCAAATCAGATTGCTGTTAAGTACTCTCAGAATTAATTGTGGTAGCCTAAGTAGGTAACAAGACAATATTAATAAAAAGTCAGCCAATCTCACTGGCTGATGGCTGCAATATTAGACTCGGGTGAGTCAGGAGAGCTCACTTTTGCTCAGTCACTTAGTGAGCTCTTCGACAGATCAGACACGGGGAAACCTTATATCCAAATAAATAAATAAATCAAAAAATAGTGGTAGATATTTATCTAGATTTCAAATTTACAGAGGCTCTGGAGAAAAAAAGGAGCACACCCTGGGGTGTTTTCTTCTATGCTTCATTTTCATGGTTTTCATTTTAGTTGTGATTTTAGTTACCTGAACTTTTCATTCTGTCCCTTTCCCCAAAGATCATTTGCAGGAACACACACATTCATGTGCTCATGATTCAGGTGCCCAAGGAGGCCAGAGGCATTGGCACCATCAGTTCTGAGTGTGGGGAAGAACAGTCTTTGCTCCTAACTGCTGAAGCATCTCTACAGCCCCTTACTATGCTGTTTAAAAGTTAGTATTGGCCAGACATTGTGGTATAAGCCTTTAATCACAGCACTGAGGTAGGCAGATGTCTGTGAGTTCAAGTCCAGCCTGGTCTGCAAAGCAAGTTCCAGGCCAGTGGGGATTGCATAGTGAGACGCTATCTCAACAAAACAAAACAAAAGAAACCACAACAGCAACAACAACAAATCCAACACCCCCCAACCGCTGTACTTGACACTTACCATGTCATATAATCCTCACCTCACATACTCTTGCCAGTTGCGGTACTGCCCACACATCGCTCTGTGCGTTATCTAACCATTTCCTCTTTTAGACGTAACTTCCTATGACATCTTTGATTTTGTAAGTAACAACACAAGGAAAACCTGCTACATACAGCTTGTGTCAGCACCTTCAATGTTTTTCTGAAAACAGATTTTCTAGCATCAAAATGTAAAAGGCGGAGGCGGGGATCGAGCACAGTTGGTAGAGTGTTTGCCTACCAAGCCGTTACTCCTGAGTGTGATACCCAGCACTTCACAGTGGTAGAGCATCCTGCCAGCCAGCACTCTGGAGGCAGAGGCAGGGAGCTTCAGGCTTCAGGGTCACCCTCAGTTATAGAGTTACACAAACTATGTGAGACAATAACCTCAAAAAGGGAAGTCAAAGTTGAAGAGGGTAAGAGAGAAATAGCAGGTTCAGATGTATATTACAGAGGAAGGATGGTAAGGGTGCAGAGAGAGGAGTTGCCCTTTGAACTGTGTACCCCAAACTTATGGAGGACCGTTTACATCATTTCTAAGACACCAATGTCTATGACACTAACCCTGCTCCTGTCACTTTATCTGCAGCCACAGCCCTTTGCCTGGGGGCAGATGAGAGCATGTAGGGGAGCCTGTGGTAATAGGGTCTATATCAGTCTAGTCCAGTCTTGTTGCCTTCTTCCAACAGATGCTCAACTGGAAGTCTGGAAAACACCACCAGAACTAACCCTCCTACTTCTGCATTTTGAATCTTCATCCTTTTCCTGACTTTAGCTGGTTTTGTTTGTCATTTGAGATCTGGCTGTTTGAGAAATCGCTTCTTGACAATTTACATTTTACATTGACAACTGTAAATTGTCTCTTGGTGGAGGATAATCTGAAGACATTTGGTCACATTCTGGCTAGCGCTCCTCACACGTAAAGTGGAGCGGTGGGGACCAAGTGACATGATGTGTGTAAACCGGTAGGCAAATGTAGATGTTAGTTCTTTCCCTTGCCTGTGAAGTGCCAGCCATCCAGTGAGGACACACCGAGTTGCCGTCCATGTTTTACTCCCCTCTGCACATCGTCTGTGAAAGGTCTGTGAAAGGACGGTCTCGGCACGCGGGGGAGTACTCCTTTTGTTTGTGCACAGTTTCTTGCCTTCTTTTAGCCCCCCTCCCCCGAATATGTGAATATTTGACTCCAAAACTCTGGTAAATGTCTAATCTTTTCTCACAAATTCTTTATGGAGATCAGAGATTCTCAGTGTCTCTCACGACACGCAAGGGATGTGACTGATAATAGCATTGTAGCGGTAAAGATTGAGGTTTGCCTTAGTTCTGTGAAATGTGGAATGCTTACGATGGCTCACTTACCCATTTCCCTGATAATTTGCTATGCCGGGTATCCCTTTAGGGACAAGAATAATAACAAAAATTTAGATCATGGTGACTGACAGAGAAACAGTACAAAACTATGGGAAAGGGACATCTACATCAGCACACACGCAGACCCATCCGTGTGCCTTCCCTCAGCCTGTCTTCTCTCCTGACTACTGATGGCTCACACGCCTGTGCAGAGCTATACACTCAGCTGTGGTGAAACGTATTCGGAAATCTGCCCTTGGTTCTGTTCATTTCTACTTCTGCTGGGGTTGATTATGGTGGAGTTGTTTCTCTGTTATACCATGGAATTTTATCCCTATGTGATATCATTTGACAAGGTGAGTTTCGCTAGGACCCATCATATGCTTGCCAGATGCAAGCGTCTGGGCCTTGTCCCCAGCACAGAAACAGACAGAGCAGCCCTAAATGTAAGAAGCCAGTGGGTGTGACTGAGACTTTGCTGTTTGTCTCCCATGGTTTTCAAAGTCAACAGGCTGATATATGCCATTTTCTGACCATCTGTAATCTTTAGGATTAAGAAGACCAAAGAGTCATGCAGCATGACAGCACTTCAGGAGAAGTCCAAAGGTACTTCATCGTTCCCTTGCTCTCTCCCCACGCCTTTTCTCTTACTCTACATAGCCAAGGCTGGCCTCAAGCTCACAGGAATCCTCCCGCCCCAGTCTCCTGAGTGCGTACCTAGCTTGTTAATGGTTCTGTTAAGCTCTGCTTAGTCTGCAAATTTAGTGGATTCGAGGTTCATCACATACATGTCTGTCATCTCAGGACCAAGGCCAGCCTCCGACAGAGCTCCCCTGGGCCGCGAAGCAGCCTTCAAGCCAGCTACCTTGTTTTAAATCTCTGAGCTTTAAAATTATTCCACACTGCAACAGAAGCCTGCAGCCTTGACGTCCAGTCACACTGCTCCCCTGCTTAACAAACACCTGCTCATTACCGCGGACTAAAATGTTAATGCAGCTCTGAACGCTTTACCGCCTTCCCAGGGAGATCCGTTCTATCCTCATCTTTTTCTTCTTCTTTTTTTAAACTACTATTTTATGTGTGTGGTGTTTTTCTTGCATGTGTCCATGTAGCAGAACTCTGCACCATGTGTGTATACTAAGCACCGGAAGAGAGCACTGGAGGGTTCCCTGGAGCTGGAGTTGTAAGCGTCAGTGTGCTGGGAATCACCCTGGGTCCTCTGGAAGAGCAGCCACTGCTGAGTCATCTCTCCAGCCCGCATCCCCACCTTCTGTTTTTTCTTGTGGATTATGTGTATTTATTCACTACAGAAGCTATCTCTACTGCACCTGCTTAGAGCCCCACACTGACTCTTAACTCAGGTTCTTCCTAAGCACCGCTGAGTAGTCCCACCATATCTGGAGGAGAGTCTGTCCTTTGATGCTTGAACGTCAGACACTCCCAGCTTCTCACTTAGGATGTACTTGATTAGAATTTTGTTCTTTGAAGGTAGACACTAACACATCTGCTCTGTCAGGTGACTTAATGACATCTGCAAGATTCCAGAGAACTTTTTCGGAATTCAGGTGACTGCATTTACTGCCTCAGTCCTGTACTTGTTAGATTTGGGGTACTGTGTTAGGGCAATGCATATGGCATGTGACACGCATAGCTGGTGTCCGAGCCCTAGAATAAAGTAATTTGGCCCAAAGTTAGTGGTAACCTTTCTTGAGCCATATATTCAAAAGTTTCCCATATTTTAGTTGTGCTGGAAGTAGGCACGGCCTTTCTGGAAAGTTCAAGGTGTGTACGCAAAGATTCGGTAGTGTTTTGTGGGCGCGGGTGGAGCCCAGCGTCATTTGTCGTATCAGTGCTGAGTGGAGTTGTGAGAATTCGTTTTCTCCCCGCAGGCTCTGTCTTCAGTGACCCTTTCTCAGGAGCTCCCTCTCAGTTTCTGCAGAGACTGTCCCGAATGGCCATACTGGAATACGACACTATTCGCCAGGAAACACACAAGAAATCACGGCGAGGCAAGAAGCGGGATCTCCGAGACTGCTGAGGGTCGCGCACCATGCACCACACACCATGCACCATGCACCACGCCATGCTTCTCCCCTGCGCTGTAGTTCACATTCGTCATGTTTCTTTTTCTTTCTTTCATTCTTTTTTGATATGCGATATGATAGACATACAAATGGAAATGTAAATAGCAAATAAATATTTTATGTTATATATGGAATATATTTTTGTGAATTTTGTGAAACATGGCATTTCATCTTTTTTTTTTTACTTTTTTCCTTAAAACAAATATTTTATTATTAAAACTGAATGATTTTACTTTTTAAATAAAAGTGGTACTAGGGATTGAACCCAAATCTCTATGTGTGCTAGGTAAGTGTACTTCCCATTGAGATATCAAAAAACATTTAAATTATATGAATATATGCATAATGGAAATTATATTCCATAAGTTTATGCACATTTATATGTCTTTCGATATAACTTGATAAATGCTTTTGAGACGTGTCTTTGCAATGGACCTCACTAGTTGTTCAGAAGGTTCGAGAAGAATCCAGGGATGATGTCATACATCTGTAATCCCATCATTCAGGAGGCTGAGACAGAGGTAAGAAAATTTTTGAGTCTGGACTGCAGAGTGATTCTCTGCTCAAGACAACAGTTTAAAGGAAAGTAAGTGCTGTTGGCGTTAGAAGGACGGACAGCTGGGGAAATGGCTCAGCTGCTCTCCCGGAGGACCCGAGACTGACACCTAACCAGGCATCTCATAACCACCTGACTCCTTCCGAGGACAGGCACCTCCACGGCTGTGACACACAGCCACGTAAAATAAAAAAAAAAGTTTTTATTTAAAGAAAAGAGAGTTTTTTCATGTTTGGAAACTATTGTGAGAGAAATATTGAGCCAGATGAAGAGGAAAATATCGACTCACTTTTCTGATGAGGTCTAGATGGGCATCCGGCCTTTGTTTGTGAGACAACGATGCACCTTCCAATCCTGAACTTTAGAATGGAGCAAACGAACACAGGTAGTACTCCCTACTCTTGGTCACCCGTAACCTCAGGGCCTTTGCTGCCAGGCAGACAGAGTCTCTCTGTGGTGTAGATAGACTGATCTGTGAGGGGGAGGGAGAGGGGAGAAACACTTACCCCATCTTCGTGGAGCGGAAAGACTTGTTCGAGAGAGAGACGCCCTTCTCCAGGAAGCCTGCAGAATGCCAGACAGATGCTGCCACAAAACCAGCTTCAGTTTGAGCTTCTAATTGTTTTCGGCCCATACATTAATTGACTTCAAGTTCATTGTTAGTGTTTACACATCGGAAGGTTTAACAAAAAACAATCTAGGACACTGACAGCTGGCCTTGGAGAGTACAGGACCCTGAGTCTCCTAGGAGCTTAGACCAGGCAGTAACCCGCAGGCAGAGAGGGCCTTGCGGAGGATAGGCCATTCTAGACAGCTGAGAAAGCATGAGCAAAGGCGACTCTGCACTTGGGGAGGACACACAGGGGTGCTGTGTGTACAGGGCAGGCAGCATAAGCTCAGTTCTCCAGACCCCAAGCCAGCTCCAGGCTGTGTGGCCTCAACAGGCAGAGGCTGTAGTAAACCTATCAGAAAGGGCCTGGATGCCTAGCTTCCGTTCTTTGTTTATGAGTCCCAAGTTGCCAGAGAACCCAGCTTTTTGAAAGAAACGAGAATCTGAATTTTCGTGCAGCCTTCCTATCTTAGGGTTTTATTGCCATGAGACACCATGGCCACAGAAACTCTTAGGAAAGAAAGCATTTAATCAGGGCCTGCTTAGAGTTTCAGAGGTTTAGTCCATTGTCATCATGGCGGGAAGCTTGGTGACACACAGCCCGCATGGTGGTGGAGAGGTAGGTGAGAAATCCACCTGCAGCAGGGAGAGAGAGCCACTATGCTCAGCTTGGGCTTCTGAAGCCTCAAAGAGACACACTCCAAGCCTAATCCAAGTGTCACCTCCTAACTTCTCTCAGGTAGCTCCATTTCCCTAATGACCAAGCATTCAACTATTTGAGCCTGTGGGAGCCATTCCTGCTCAAACCACCACAATTCCACAAAGTATATAAAGAGTCTCTAGTTAGAAAGTGGAAGAACTGGGAATCTACCCAAAGTTCATATACAGAAACTCTTGGGAATAGTAATTTAAAAGTACCTTCAATTTATCATGCCAAAAGATACATCACAACTTCTTGCCAGTCATCAGGGCCTTCTTTAGACACAACAGATGTAATGAGCTATGGTAATAAATATAGCCAAATACTATAATAATGTGGTCAATCAATCAAACAGCCTCAAACTTAGTTGATAATATATATTGTATTAAATATTATAAATATATAATAAATGTAATCATGGCTTAATTGATTAAAATTTAGGGTACGATAGAACTTCTATAGACAAACTGCAGCTTCAGGTCGTGAAAGTATGACATCACGGATTGATGACATCACAGCTTGACGCCTGGGGAATGAATGTTGGCATTGCTTACATAGATATTATGTCTGCCCACCCTATCTGCCTAGGAAAGAATTCAACTCAAGCCAGTTCCAGAGTGAAATATTTGCTTTTATTTATTATGGGGGCTGCGGGGAAGTTATGCCACATGTAAACAGGAGTCTTCGGAGGACACAGGAGGCACTGGATCCCAGGAGCTGGAGTTAAAAGTGGTTGTTAGTCATCTGACGTGGGTGCTGGTACCAGGCTCAGGTCCTCTTGAAGAGCAGCGAGTCCACTCTTGTCCACTGGGCTGTCTCTCCAGTCTCTGTTGTTTCTTCTTAACAAGCGAAGTAGGCTGATAGTAGTTGATCCCTTGTTTAGCCTTAGAGTCCAATTTAGTTTACAATTTTCATTAAATCTTTTCTTGCTGTTTGTTTGTCTTGAGACAAGGTCTCATGTAGCTGAGGCTGGCCTTACACTTGAGGAGGATGACCTTGAATTTCTGATTTTTTTTTCTGCCTCCACTTTCCCAAGTGCAGGGGATAATGGCCTGTACCATTAGCATCAAGGAAACAGACTCACTAAGCTGAAAAAAAATTCACAGGCTCTACTACTTTAGATCTCATTTATCTTTTGTGCTTGCTAAACATTGAAGAAAACTAGTATGCATTTAGAACACAGAAAGCATAAGGCACCTCCAAGCAGGACAAACCAAGGACTTAGAGAAGGATCAGAACCAACTTTAAAAAAGATTTATGTTTAGTGCAGATGAATGTTTTGCCTCCATGTGTATCAGGACACCATCTCTGTGTAGTACCCTAGGAGGCCAGCAGAAGGCGTTGGATCCTCTGGAACTGAAGTTACAGGGGTTGTGAGCCTCTGTGTGAGTGCTGGGAACAGAACTCCTGGCCCTCTGTAAGAGCAACAAGTGCTCTTCACAGCTGAGCCATCTCTCCACCCCACCCCCGAAAGACCGACTTCTATTACTGCAGTCACCATAAATACTAATGTGAGTTTCATCTTTGTGATTTGGAAAGCCCCTCCAGAGTAAGCAGCACCATTTCCAACCTTAAGGACCTGTACCTTATGATAAACATTTAGGATGGGAAGATGGAGTTGAGAAAACAGTTCATTTAAAGGTTTAAGTACGTGTGTGTGTGTGTGTGTGTGTGTGTATTATGCTTATATGAGGTCAATGACCAAGGAGACCAGAAGATTGGATTGGACTGGATCCTTGGAGCTGGAGTTACAGACACCTGATGTGGGTAAAAGTCACCTGACATGGGTCTAAGTCACCGAATGTAGGTGCTGGGAACCACACTCTGGTCCTCTGGCAAAGTTGTGTGCTTTTAACCTCGCCGTTATTGCTCCAACCCCAATTTTTTTTTTTTTACAGAAATTTAGTTACTCCATCGAAGGAAAAGTTCCTAGTTAACAACGATTCCAAATTATTTTTTTCTAAGAAGAAAGACTCATTTTCTTTTCTTTATTCCTTTCAAAATCCAACAGCTTCCTTGTATGTAATTTGGGTTTCTCAGTAAACATATACACTGAAGATCAATACTTTCTCTAGATGAAATAGCTTGGATTTAGAGTGGCTATGTTAACTGAATTTACTTCCCTCTCTCCCTCCATTTCTACCTGACTTCCTTCCTTCCCTCCATTCTCCCTTTTTCTTTCTTAACACAGCTAGGTCTTAAGACCCTAGCAGTCCTTGAACTCACAGAGATTTGCTAGCCTCTACCTCCCAAGTGCTGGGATTAAAGGTGTGCACTATCACCTCCCGGCTAGGTCTTTATTTCTAATTGATCCTTCTGTGAGGACTTTCAAACTGACACAGGGGTCCAACTCTCCCAGAGAACTTCTTACACTCCAGATTCGTGTGGCACTTGGGATTGATAGTCTGTGATGCTGTAAAGCACCAGGGGATGCTAAAGATGCTGATTGTGGACCACTTCAATAACCCTGCCTTAGCATGTCCTGTGCTCAGGGTACCTTTTCAGTAAGTAACCTTGATCCAGCATCTCCTACACTCAGGGTCTCTGGGTAAACTTTTGAGAGCTACCCTCATTCAGACATCATCTCAGAGTCTGCTCCAATTTGGTTAGGGTGCCTTCTTGGGTAATTTTTAAAAACTCTTCCTGCCCCTGTAATCACCCATATGTGACCTGCATTCCTTTTTTCAGTTTTTTAATTGATATTTATTGAACTCTACATTTTTCTCTGCTCCCCTCCCTGCCTCTCCCTTTTCCCCTCCAACCCTCCCTCAAGGTCCCCAAGCTCCCAATTTACTCAGGAGATATTTTCTTTTTCTACTTTCTATTTCCCATGTCTATTATATCTACGTAAGTCTCTCTTAGTGTCTGCATTGTTGTCTAAGGTCTCTGGGATTGGGGTTTGTAGGCTGGCTTTCTTTGCTTTATGTTTAAAAACTACCTATGAGTGAGTACATGTGATAACTGTCTTTCTGTGTCTGGGTTACCTTACTCAAAATAATGTTTTCTAGCTCCATCCATTGTCCTGAAAAATTCAAGATGTTGTTATTTTTTTCTGCTGTGTAGTACTCCATTGTGTAAATGTACCACATTTTCCTTATCCATTCTTTGGCCAAGGGGCATTAAGTTGTTTCCAGGTTCTGGCTATGACAAACAAAGCTGCTATGAACATAGCTGAGCACATGTCCTTGTGGCATGATTGAGCATCCTTTGGATATATACCCAAAAGTGGTATTACTGGGTCTTGAGGAAGGTTGTTTCCTA